TAACAGTACGCCGACACGTGCAAGGCTGCGGCAGAGGGCCGATGACCAAAACCCGTGGGTGAGCCACGCGTGCACGTCTGGGCTAACCTCACCGCCCTGCTGGCCACCGACTAGCATCTGAGCCCAGAAGAGGGGGCCGTGGTCACCAACCACCGCTCTGCAACGCCGGATCTGGAAGCCTTGGTCCGTGTGGTACATGTGTGCAAGGTTCGTAAAATCTCCCGGCACACCAGCAAGAAACTCTTCCTGGCCACGGCCCCTAAGGTCAAGGAGCTGACACGCGTCGTGGTGAAAGCCCTCTCTGCGAATGGCGGCGTGCAGAAGTACGGCCAGGCCGCCGCGCAGGAGGCGAGCGCAAACTACAGGTCCTTTTGGACGAACCGCGCAAGATCGTCCCGGACACGCCCGGCGAAGACAGCATGGAGGAACTCTGAGGTAGCCCAGTGAGCGCGCAACGCCCGCCTCTACTTCCCCCCCCCTCCCCTCCCCTTTCTCTCTCCGCTTAGAACGAATGTCTTTACTGTTCTCAACCGTGTTCCCGGGGATTTGGGGCGCCAACAGACTACACGGCGAGTCCCTCGGCGCCCTGTGCCCGCCGTTCCGTCGCCTGGCGGGGCGTGCGCAGGGCCCGCCGTGAGGGCATCCGCCCGCTGACGTTCGTGGGGCGTGGGCTCGCACGACTCTTTCGGAAGCGCGCCCTGCACGGTGCGCAGCGCTCTGCTCGGGACTCTTGCCTCCCTCATGCAGCGACCCCCCCCCCCGCCGCCTTCCCCCCTTTTCTCTCCTCCATGGCTCTCCGATTGAAAAATCCTCGCCTGCTCGCCCTAATCGGCTTGCAAACCTGACAGAAACGCTCGCACATAGGTGTGCCGCGTAAGCTCTGCGCCCACCACGGCGACGCCGCAGCTCCGTCGGCGTCTTCACTGATTGTCCTCTGCTGCTGCTGCCGCCGAGTCTGACGCCATGCCGCCCGCGTCGGGCTCTGGTTCCCCAGTGCGGGCCCGGTGCTCCTCGGGGGCGGCTGCTGTCGAGTCTGTTGCCATGCCGCCCACGGCCTCGGCCACAACTGCCGCCGAGTCTGTCTCCATGCCGTCCACTGCGGCCTCTAGCTCCCCAGCGCGGGTCGGGTGCACCGCTTCTGGTTCCCCAGCGCAAGCAATCACGCCGTAATAGTGTGAACTGCCGTCGTAACCCACCCAAATGCCGTCCTCGTCGACGCCGTTCTGCGCGTGACCATCTGGCCACCACGTCCTCTCATACGTGGGACTGATCACGGTGATTTTTCGCTGCTGGGTCATAGACAATACGCCAATCATGAGCTCATCTGCCCAACATGAAGGCCTAAGCATATTCGTTCGGTACTCCTCGGCGCCCATTCCGAGATCCGAAGCTGCAATTTCTAGCTGCTCTGGTGTAGCTTGTGCCACAGCCTGGCGACGCATCTCCAACGCGTCAATGGCTTCTCCGCTGTAGATGATCAACCCTGCTGCTCTGACCGCATGGAACAAGCAAGACCCATCTCTGGGTGTCTCCACGAGTTCCCGGCCATAGTTTCCCACGCGCCGTTGTACTACTTGTTCAGCTTCGGATGCAAGATTCGTCAGGCGAATGCTCTGCGGAACAAAGGGATTGCGCCCCAAACTGAAGGGGGATGTCTGCATGCTCGGAGAACCGTAACCGTCCTGCTCACGGACAGCGACGGCAACTTCTGTGTCTGGATTTGTATCGCCTGGGTTTGCATCGAGGTTGCTCCTCTGTCCCATGCCATCCCCACCAACTCCGAATGCTGCTTCAGACTCCTCTGGGAAATCCAGCGTTGGCACGCCGGGCGCTCCAGCGTCAGTGCCAGCTTCAGTTGAATATTGGCATGTGCTGAATTTGTCCGCTGTCTGTAGTGCAGCCAAGAAACAAGTAATGGGCACTTCAACAAAGTGTTTTGGGATCTCGTCCACCTCGCCCAAAAGCACCGGTTCGAGCACAGAATAATATATGGATCCTCCTGGGCACACAAGCTTTGGATTTGGGATCTTCTCTCCTGTGGCGTGGTTGTCAACGTACTCAGGCCAGTTCTGAGCATACGAGAACTGTTCAGAGCCCACTCGCCGTAGAGCAGCTGAAAGCAATGACAGGGCTGGCAGACTGTGCTTGCAGGCCTCCGCGAAGGCAGCATCGATATGCTCTTGCTGCTGACTGGTTGGATTGCGTGCAAATTGGTTGTGCACCCGCCCATCCCAACAGGCGGCGCTGAGTGCTCGCAGATGGCTGAGACGAAGCTCTGTCAGCTGCGGCATCCTCTTCAAGACAGCATGTGCACGACGTTGGCGATTATCCAGAAGTGTTCCTACGCCAGACTCCACGAAGTCACTGATAGACTGGTCGATGTGAACTGTGGCTTGCACTGCGAGTGCGGCCAAGATGAATGCAAACTCCCTTAGATGACCGCAGCTGCCTGGGTCCTTCTTATTCAAGTGCTGAAGTGCTGCATCTGCTCCTGCTGGCAATCGCAGCTCCTGCTTGAGGCCAACGCGATCATCGAGTGAAGCGAGCACCGACGACTGGGCCATCTCGTCAAGATATTGTACTGCTGGCAATCTCTCGCGCAGGAGCGGCTTTTCCAGAAGTCTGGTTCGCTCGACGATCAGTTGCTCAAAAGAGTGTAAGTCATCGAACTCGACTGTTTCCCTCGACCTCTCACCCAAATGTCGAATCACATACAAGTGTAAGCTCGGCCACACATCATCATTGGGGGAGAATTGTACAACATCAGCATGCGTGCAAGCGAAAGGGCGCGCCTCCAGAGACGGGATGATACGTTGACGGCCCATCTTTTCAGAGAGCCCCCTGAGCTCTGGGTCTGAAAGAATATCGCGCTGCCAGGCTGACAATGTTCCAAACAGAGCCATGGTCGGACCCTCCTCCGAAGGGAGGAGCCATTCTAACGGCAACTCATCCAGACGCTTTTCGTGCAGATTTCGAAAAGCGTAAGCGGCGGACGTCGTGTCATCATAATCGATGCACGGGTTCAATGGATGCCGATGGACATGTGGCCAAACTGCACAAGTGGCCTCTTCGAAAGCCTTCTGTGCTCTGCGGAGCTCACTTGCGCACTCCGGCGCACTGCTGTGAAGCTGATCGAGCCATTCTCCGAACGATATCTGTGCATCAGAGCGTGCCATCTTCATGTCGCAATTCGAAAACAGGAGTCGCAAGAAGTGGGCGACGGCCGGTAAATGCGCGAGTAGGTCCAAGCCCGGCGCTGCCACGCCATCCTCCATCATACCTGTCGTCACCAATGACTTCACCTTACCGCGTAGGAAATGCAGCACTGGTGCCCGCTGCGGGTCTCTGCCAACGAACCCCCAGAACGCACTCAATGTTAGCACAGGGGCGGGGACCCAGTGGAGGGACTGTGGCGTCTCCAACGACAGGGGCTGGCCCTGGCGCAAGAACTCGTCACTGCGCTTCACTTCCTCCAGCACCTCATCCCGTGCAGCTGCGGCCTGCAACCCATCAATGGCATCTTGCACGCGACGGACAACATCGGATGGCTGCTCATCGAGGAAGGATTGCAATCGCGTCCTCACTGCTCTCTCGAATGCTGCGCAGGCTGCGGCATCAGGGAGGGGCCACGATTTGGGGCCATTTGCAGGTGCCCTGAAGAGCTCCATGACCATGACGTGCAAATCCGCCAGCACCCTTGGGGGCGCAAGACTGCGAAAGTTGCTGCTGGGCTGCTGTGTTATTTTCTTTGTTATATTTTTCCTTAGTAGCATGTCGCTAGAAGGTTCGAACAGATGTGAAACAGGACCACGGGAGGGTCCCACGGAGTGGACGGGGATCCCTAGATCGCCCAGTCCAGCAGCCGTCTCGCCTGAGACTTCCTCACATCTTGTGCAAGAACCGTGCTCTCACGACCTCTCGTTTAAAACGTGCACCACGGTGCTCATGACCGTGCCCTCACCCCTGTCACACGGCCGCGATACCCCTACAACAAATACGCCGCGGTACACGTGGCCGTGCTCTTACCCCTGCCACGCCTGAGAGCTCTAGGAATACCAATGGCTGCGCGTGTTCACCAACCAACCTTCTATTCCTCGACCCGCCACTTCACCTTTGCTGCGATTGGGTTGCTTTGCTGGGGTGATCTTGCATTGTCTTTGGCTGCTGTCTCTCGCATCGTTCCTATCCCCATTATACCTGCCTATTAGGAGGGCCCAGTTCGTCACGGGGTGGGGGGGTCCTCAGCCTCCTGGCCGCACCAGGCTGCGCTGTGATTCTTGCAGGGAAGCCCTTCCAGGCAAGCAGAGCGCAAGACGGCCGACGATGGCCCTATGATGCTACTGAACTTGCACAGGAGGGCGTAACTACGCCCGCGGCGGCCCTAAAATACCCTAAAATTCCCCAGCAGACCGCCAAGATCGCCCAGGACCCAACAAGGTCCCGAGATGGCCACAAGGCGCACCCAAAATGGGCCCCAGAGGCAACACGATAGCTCCAATGTTGCCCACCACGTCCCAAAGGTGGGCCGAGAGGCCCCAAAATTCCCCCAACAGGCCCCAAGATAACCCGAGAAGGCACCATCACTGTCCCGACATAATCGTAAGATGGTTCAGTCTGGGAGCCGGCGACGGACGGCGTAGTCCTTCAGATAATTCGCTGCAGGCATGTTGTCAGCACTGGTGGGGAAGAGACAGCCCTTGATCGAGTCCACCTCGCTGATGAGCTGTTCTTGGAGCTGGTTGAAGCTGAGTGCTCCGAAGTTGTCGACCCCATGAAGGAGGCAATGGCCCAACGCAGCAGCTTCAATGGCAAATCGAATGCCTCGGAAAAGAGGCGCTGGCAACCCTCTGTCGGTGAGGTTCGCATCGCGCGCTTCCATGTGAAACCCAAGGTTGTTTGCAAAGCGCGTGCTGTACTGCGTGTCCCATGCAGCAGTCACATCTTGGACAGTCCCATGATACATGTTTCCCGCATGACGGACCCCGTACTGAGGCCCTCCGATGGCAGCACCACATTCAGCGCATCTTCCCTGCGAGTTGATGTTGACACACGCGTCGGTGACGTACATGTGCCGATTAGGGCAAGAGTCCACTACAGCGCTTTCACTGTGTCGGCGTGCGTCAATCCCATTGCAAGTCTCGAGGACACGCTACTTCTAGGGAAAGAATCGGAAGTTGGGGGATGAGATCACAGTGAAACGGAGACCCCCCACCGGGAAATCGGTTTCGGTTTCGTGTTCGTGTCGTGCGTGCGGGCGAAGCAAAGCTGCGCGTGATCCTCCTGTAACTCGGCCGAAATAGGAGCGAAAGCCCGTTCCCCGTCCGCCGGTGGCCGGGAAGTGTCCCAGTTGGGCCGGGCGGTGTCCCGGGTGTCCTGGGTGTCAGTAGGAGCGAAAGTCCTTTTCCCGTCCGCCGATGGCCAGGAAGTGTCCCAATTGGACCGGGCGGTGTCCCGGGGGTCCAGGGTGTCCCGGGCGTCCCGGCGCTAACGCATGTCGCTACCCACCAGCCCTCTGGGCGTCGGTGGTTTAGAGAGTTTCCTCTTCCCCCCCTCCCTCTTCCCCTTCGGGGAAAGGTTTATCACTGTTCCCTATTAATAAACACCCCCTCCCCCAGGCGACAGGGGGCCAACCAGGGTCCATGACAACACCCCCCACCACTCCTTGCAAAAAAACAATGCAAACCACACTCTGCCTCCAAACTGGGAACATGCGCAGCCAATCCGATGCGGCCCCCCCCACCATCCCTGTCAAAAAACGATACATAGTACACTTGGCGGCGGCGGCGGCGGCTGTGGCGGCTGCGGCGGCGGCTGCGCAGCCGGCGGCGGCGGCGGCGGTGGCGGTGGCGGCAGCGGCTGCGGCGGCGGTTTGGCAGCGGGGGCCGGCGGCGGCGGCGGCGGCGGCGGCGGCGGCGGCGGCAGGCGGAGGCGGCGGCGGCGGCGGCGGCGGCGGAGGCGGCGGCGGCGGCGGCGGCGGCGGCGGCGGCGGCAGGCGGAGGCGGCGGCGGCGGCGGCGGAGGCGGCGGCGGATTGGCCCCCAGTAGCTGCCCATCCAAAAACGACTGCTGAATATGCTCAGGCTCGGGCCACATTCGGGTGCTACGTATGTGTCGGGAAGGCGGGTGGGAGTGAACGAGACGGCTTGCGGGCGGGGAGGGGGTCTTGACCCCTCCCCCTACCCCCTCCCCGTGGACCTGGACGGGGGGGGCCGCGAGCGGTCAGGGCGTCCAGAACGGCCTCGGCGAGGAAACCAAAATCATTTATATTACTAGGGTTTGGGCCCCATTTTGGCCTCCAGGGGGGGCAAGGCAAATTCATGCTCCGCTCTTCTTTGAAACCAGCATCATTGGTTTCACAATGGTTTTGGCCCCATTTTGGCCTCCAGAGGGGGCGACCCTAATTGAGGCTCCCCTCTTCTTTGAAGCCAGCATCATTGATTTTACTAAGGTTTTGGCCCCAATTTGGCCTCCTGAAGGGGGGCAGCCGTATTTTAAGCTCCTCTCTTCTTTGATCGATGTCCTCCAAGATGGCCCCAAGAAGCGCCCAGGAGGCCCCAAGAGGCCCCAAGAGGCCCCCAGGAGGCCCCCAAGAGGATCCCAAGCGGCCCACAGAGGCCCCCCCGAGGCACCCGCGCCGAAAAAACCCTCAGGACGACCCTCTACTCGCCTGGGCGTCGTTTCTGGATAGGCTGGTGGGGATACTTTTTGTCGCAGCCGCAGGCGAAAGCGCCAACGGCGAGTAAGGTCCGAGCGGGCCGCGCAAGAGCCTATTTGCCTAACGCCGACGGGCCGGCGACCTAAGCAGCACCTAAGCGGGCGGGCCGGCGAGAGGGGGGGTGCGGGCTGCAGCGGCCAGGAACCAGGTCCAGGAGCGCGCGCATGCACGATTAACCAACCAGGGTTGGAGCGCAGCCAAAATGGCGCGGGGGTGGGGCCAGCCACAGAACACTGCATCAGCTGCCAGGAGACCATACTGGCCATAAAACTGGTGCATAGGGTGATGCCAGTAAAATCGCACACCGAGACTCCTGAAGGGAATACAGATCCTGAATACAACGGTGCTCCCAGGAGGTCCAGCAAAGTAGCCAGGGAAACGATGGATGTAATCGACACCGTCACTCGCCTGAACCACCGAATCAGAAAAGCCAAGCGCACCCGCGAACAGGGGCGCCGACGTCTGAGAGCTGACCAGGACCAGGGCAATCCACGTCTCAGGCACGGGGTCGAGTGAACGCGAGAATGCCATCGCCGCGAGGAACCGTGGACGTAGTCAACGCAATCATCCGACAGCCAGGAGAGCACAGGCTGAACCACGTGCGCTCAGGGACTCCATGCGCCAACGATGGGGTTGGACCAATGGAACTGGGGGGGCCAGGGGCCGGGGCTGACAGGGCCGCTGCGACGCCCAGCCACCTGAGCGGGGGGGGCCAGGACGGAGTGAGGCAGGGCTGTCCTTACGCGAGGAGCAAAACAGCTCGGTGCGAGGCAGCTGCCTGTGGGCGCGGGGAGCGGAGTGCGCCGATGTGGTGAGAACAACTACAGCAGGGCCGGGGGCCAACTAGGACAGGTGGACCACGGCCCCAGCGGCAGTCAACGTGCCGGCGGTGTCAGCAGGCAGCTGCCAGGGCCCCAAGGGCGGGGGACAGCGGGTGCTGGGCAGAAAGTGCTTCCAGGAAGTGGCTGAGGGCCACTGGATTGCCGAGTGCAGATGGAACACCACCATGTATGGGAACGCGTGTCGCCTCGCCCGTCGCCGTCGTTAACGGCCCCCGCAAGCCTCCTGTCTGCTGCTGGGCCCGTCCTCCGAGCAGGGAAGGCATGGCGCCCCAATCCTGAGTGGCCCACTGTGGCCCACTGTTGGTCGGCGCGCCAGGGTTACCAGGAAGCAGCTGACGGCTGCACTTTCTGCGAAGAAGCCACGGCGACCATGCCGTCCGTGCGCGGCGGGCTGCGTCCAGGGCGAAACAAGGGCGGGCGCGCCCGCAGTGCTGGGCAGAAGGTGCCACCCGGAAGTGGCTGTGGGCCACTGGTTTGCCGAGTGCAGATGGAACGCCACCGCGTGTGGGAACGCATGTCGCCTCGCCCGTCGCCGTCGTCAACGGCCCCCGCAAGCCCCCTGTCTGCTGCTGGGCCCGTCCTCCGAGCAGGGGAGGCATGGCGCCCCAATCCTGAGTGGCCCACTCAGGCCCGCTGTTGGTCGGCATGCCAGGGTGCCAGGAAGCTGCTGAAGGCTGCACTTTCTGCAAAGTGGTGACCGGAATCGGTCGTGAAGGGCTGGGGAAGTAGGGGCGCGCATGGGCGACTGCGGCAAACGGCTGCACGACCCGAACACGAGAACCTTAAACTTCCAGCAAGTGAGGGACTCCTCCAGCGGTGGGCGTTCCAGCGTGGGGAGCACTGCCAGGGAAGCGACAACGGTCACACTGTCTGCGACCTCCTGGCCCAGTTGTGTGCGGCGGCATCGCCCTCTGCAGCGTTCCGAGCTGCCGCCGCGAGACTGTTGGCGGGTGTGGGCGCCATTCCGGGCGCATCTTCGGCCTCCACCAAGACTCTGCCCCCGGAACGTTGATAGGTGTGAGGTGCTGACGGAGAGCCTGTTTGCCCTCGGCAGCGCTCGCAACTGTCGACGCAATGCTGTTGCCAGGGCGGGGCGCCATTTCGGCCGCACCTTCCGCCTCCACAGCGACGCAGCCCGAGGGGCGCTGATAGGAGTGAGGGGCTGTAGGGGCGCCAGCTTGCCTGCCGCCGGGAGGGGGGGGGCCGACGCGCTGCTGCGAACGACCGCCTCCTTCAGGCTGGGGATCTCCCAGAGGACTGCTGCAGCTGACGGCCGCACTTCCGGAAACAATTCCTGATTGTCTGGATTGGAAGGAACGTCTCCGAGCGCGGGCGCGCCCCCTGCAGCGCTGCCAACTGTCGCCGCGATGCCGCCAACAGGAGGGGGCGCGTTCCTTTTGCGGCTGGAGGCCGCACTTTCGGATGCAACTTCCTGACTGTCAGAATTGCGGCGAACTTCTCCGAGCGTGGGCGCGCCCTCTGCAGCGTTGCCAATTGTCGCCGCGATGCTGTCTCCAGGTGGGGGCGCGTTCCTTTTGCAGCAGAAGGCCGCGCCTTCGGGTGCATCTTCCTGTCGGTCAGAATTGTGAGGAACGTCGCCGAGCGCGGGCGCGCCCTCTGCAGCGCAGCCAGCTGTAGCAATTGCAGCTGAAGGCCGCGCTTGCGGAAACATCTTCCTGACTGTCAGAATTGTGAGGAACGTCTCCGAGCGCGGGCGCGCCCTCAGCAGCGCTGCCGACAACCGCCGCGATGCTGTCTCCAGGAGGGGGCGCGTTCCTTCTCAGCTGAAACCGCACTTTCGGGGACATCTTCCTGACAGTCAGAAATGTGAGGAACGTCTCCGAGAACGGGCGCGCCCTCTGCAGCGCTGCCAAGTATCGCCACGGTGATGTCTCCAGGAGGGGGCGCGTTCCTTTTGCAGCTGAAGGCCGCACTTTCTGACTGACACCAGGGGGCATCTTCCTGACTGTCACCGGGGGGCTGCTGCTGCTGCTGAAGTTGCTGCTGACACCGGGGGCTGTCACCAGGGACTGCCCCTGCTGCCGCTGCAGCTGCTGCTGCATCTGATGCTGCAGGCTGCTGATTGTCACCAAGGGGCATCTTCCTGCTGTCAACAGGGGACTGGCCCTGACTGTCGCCAGGGGACTGCGGCAGCTGAAGGCCGCACCTTCGGAAACGTCTTCCTGACTGTCAGAAGAATGAGGAAAGTCTCCGAGCGCGGGCGCGCCCTCTGCAGCGCTGCCGACTGTCGCCGCGATGCTGTCTCCAGGTGGGGGCGCGTTCCTTTTGCAGCAGAAGGCCGCACCTTCGGGTGCATCTTCCTGTCGGTCAGGATTGTGAGGAACGTCTCCGAGCGCGGGCGCGCCCTCAGCAGCGCTGCCAACAACCGCCGCGATGCTGTCTCCAGGAGGGGGCGCGTTCTTTTTCAGCTGAAACCGCACTTTCGGGGACATCTTCCTGACAGTCAGAAATGTGAGGAACGTCTCCGGGCACGGGCGCGCCCTCTGCAGCGCTGCCAAGTATCGCCACG